GACGGCAGTGTCTGGGCCCTTCACATTGTTTTTGCTGAGAATGGTGAATCATCCTGCTGGAAACACTGTCCCTGTCTTAGTAAACTGTGGTCTCCGTGTCACTCTTGTGTGCCTTGGGGTCGTTCTACCAGTGAGCACCGTGATCATATGAACAGTAGCCATGACTTGAACTGAGAGACTCTTTTTCCAAACCCAAATCCAGAGTAAACGGAAGTGCTCCGGGTGGGCTTCTCCGCAGGGCCAGTTCCTCACCGGGCGTTTGCGGATCCCGTTGGAGGAGCGTTCCTGGGCGGCGAGTGTCTGGGAAGGACAAGAGGAGAGACAGGAGGAAGAGTCACATCACAGCCCACTAGGATGACGCTGGGTTTGGGCGGTGAGTGCTTCCTCTTGGAGGAAGAGGACGACAGGCTCAGAAGGACACAGACGCCGAGTGTGGGGTGTGTGGCGGGGGGGCCACGCCTGTCCCGGCGCACACTCTGTGATCTAAGAGGGTGCTCTTGTTGCCGGCTGTCCCCAGACCTGGTTTCCTTCCTTCACTTACCCAAGTGCACGGTGTTTAGGTGCCAGGTCCTCAGCACCTGCGGCACCAACAAGGACTCCGGGTGCCCAGAGAAGTCTTTTCCTTCACTTCGCTTCCCACCTGCACTTCTGAAGCTGCATTTTACAGGCAGAGTAAGGACCTTCTCGGTTTTCAAGCAACTCAAGTGCGTGCAAGCGCAGTTGAGCAGCTGCGTGCGTGTGCAGACAACTTTATCCGGATTTACTAGCTACGGCCGGATAATACCGATGACGCCTACATGTGAGTGTGGTGCTCCTATGTGCTTGTCTACGCAGTGCGTCTTCCTGAAAGACTCGTTCCAATCGTAATTAAACTTGTGTCAACGGAGCTGATACAACCCAGGTCTTAAAAGGCAGATATGTGAGCTGGGTCTATTCAGTATAACTCCAGCATTTTCACAAAGGGGATTCAGGTTTTTCCTTAGACATAAAGAAGCTGTAACTGTGTGAACTGGACGCTGACAGCGATTGTTCCTGTAACACACGGGGGTGTCCCTGCGAGTGAGTCCAACCCCCGTGAGGCTGGGGGAGAAGACGGGGAAGCTCATGGCGAGAGCAGCCGCGTCATTGGCGCTTCCATATCAATTTGTGTCTGAAGCCACTTTCATCCCTGAGAATCCTAGATTTCAAAATTGCATTTTGTTTAAAAAGTTTAATCTAGGATTCTGGTACTTCCATCCCAAAGGGTCTCAACTAAAACACATTTTGATCATCAAAGAGATCCAGACACAGAGAACTTGCTATGAAGACTTTATTTGAGGAAGGGAAGTGGGGGACAAGGGACAGGAGGAGTAAAAGTTCCCTTTAGGTCTCGAAGCATGTGACAAAGTCGTTGTTCTCTGTTCTCGGCGCTCAGCTGCAGCAGAATGCGTAGCGGACACCACGGTAGAGGCAGTACCCATAGACGCGGTCCGGAAAACGACAGGCTGGTCTTCTGCAGTAGCAGACAAAGCCCCTGGTTGAGCCTGGGGACACAGAGAGAGCGTCAGGCACTAGCACTGGGGGCAAAGGAGGTGGTAAAGGGAATCCCTGTGCAGTAATGCGCTGGGTTGAGTGGGTTCGTCATATTGGTGACATTACAGCCGGCAGCATGATTGGTCCCAGTCATTGGGAATAAATACACACAGCAGTGTTGGACACACACAGGATTAGCGTCTCATTCTCACTTTCCCACCATTTTGCTCTGCTGCCCCATCACACACACGTCTGAACACATCCTGGGCCCGTCTCCACTTTCTAAGGCTACCATAATAGACAGTGGAAAGTGTTTTTCTTGCAGTAGAACTCTCGTCTGTGATGCAGAAGACACGCCCCGGTATGTTTCTACATAGCAGAAAGTCAGTCAATTTCACAGAATTGTCATAGAGTCAAAAATGTTTGGGGAATAAAAGTCTCTTGATTTATCTAGTTCTTTCTTTTCAGTATACACAGGAGGAAACGGAGGCCTGGGGAGGTGATCACCTGAAAACACAGAGCCAGAGCTGGGACTGATTCTAGAGGAATCTGGGTTTCCTCTCTAGACGCCCCAGCTCTGCAGAGTTGGGTCTCTCACCTGCAAATGGGACACCTGAGCTCTTGTCCCCTGCAATGGTGATGGCCACATCCGGGTCCTCTGCCCAAGGCAGCTCCTGGGGTGGGATCTCCTCATCTCTCTCTTGCAGGGGCCCAGCCTGGGCCTGGAGGGTCACCAGGAGAAGGGCAGCGAGGAGGGCGAGGGTCCTCATGCTGGGGTCACCTGGAGCAGGGAGAGCAGGAGGGGAGTGTGTGGAGTGAGGAGTCAGCTGTGTTTCCAGGGCTGTGGGAGGTGCAGACACCTACAAGCCCCCTCTAACCCGCTCAGTCAGAGAAGGTGCACATGTCGCTGGGTGGGTGAGGACAGCCTGTGCCCTCAAGGTCCCTCAGATGTTCCTCTGTTCTCCCAGCCTCACTCTGGTCTGAATCTATACTGTAGTGTGTGTACTATGAGCTGATGATGATAATAAGGACACTGCTGCTTTTCCTGTTTCCCGCTAGCTTAAATACTTACTTATCAATATTCACAAAAGAAAATAAACAGGGCTTTAATTCAATGACCTCATGGAACAAATGGCCTCTTACTTTCTCAACACAGGCCCTCCTGCTGTCTGCATCTAGACACTGGTGACACATTTGAATTCCAGTGGACTAGTGAGCTAATTCACTGCAGGGTGAAGTGTGTTTTTGAGGTGTTTGTGAAGGTGTGTTTGAGGTTATGGGGTGTGTAGGCTCCTGTTGGGGCCAGTGTGCAGAGGACAAAGAGTTCAGCAGGCTTTCAGTGAAATGAGCTCAGTGAGATACAGATAAAGAGTTGGTCTAAGGCTAAAAAAATGTTTATTACTCCCAACTCTATTGAGGTACGGTGATAATTCAGAATTGCGTGTATCTAATTATACTAACTTACGATTTGCTGTCTCATACATTTGAGCCTTTATCTCACAGCATGTACAACAGTTAACTCAGAATGGATTGAAGACCTAAACATAAGACTTGAAAGCGTAAAACTTCTAGAAGGACAATAGGGAGGAAGCATTTTGACATTGATCTGGGCATTTTTTCCCTACATCCAACACCAAAGGAACAGGCAATAAAAGGAAAATAGACAAGTGGGATTGCATGAAACTATAAAGCACATGCACAGCAAAGGAAACAATAAACTGAGTGGAAGGCACCTAGAAAATAAGAGAAAGTATTTGCAAACCATGCATGGGATGAGGGGTTGATATCGGAGTATACAAGTTACACAAACAACTCAATAGCAAAGAACAAATAATCTGAAATAAAACCAGCCAAGGCCTGAATAGACATTTCTATTATACATATGTTTATCTATTAGGTATGTTATATCTATGATACATATAAATAAAAGAATGTTTTAAGAAGCTATTGTAGTGTTTATTGGACATGTCAATCAGGACCCATGTGTTTTGAACGAAACTCTTTTGAGTTTCTCTATTAACATAGCTGGTGGCACCACCAGAGGCCCAAACAGACGTGTACCAGCTGAGGATTCACACACCAGGTCCCTCTGGGGTGGCCTCACAGTCAGGGGTCAGGTGTGGACATGGCTTCAAGGAAATCACAATGTCAAAGTTTAGTTTTGTGTTACTTACAGATCTTCAGGCTTGGAAGGTGGCTGGAGAGAGCAGACAGCAGTCCTCTGTCCCAAGTCTCTTGTAGCAACAGCAACCACGCACAAACACGAGGCTTCCCTATTTAAGGGCCATTTGGGATGAGATTTCCTAATTTTGTGGGTTAATTTCTATTGGATACTTTTTTTACTTTTTTTTTTTTTTTTAATAGAGACAAGGCCTTACTCTGTAGCCCAGGCTGGAGTCCAGTTCTATTGAGTACTTTAATCAACTCTTGCTACAAGGGGAGATGAGAAATTTGGCGGGAAGCTGGAGTTACAACAGGGCTCCACACAGGGACCCCTTATCTATCTTGCTCAGCCTTAGCCAAGCCCAGGCAGCAAGAAACTCTGGTTCCTCCATGACTCCTAAGGCAGTGGGGCCCACTGTGCCTGAGCTGTTGGCTCAGGCTGAATCACCTGGACCAAGGGAATATTAAAAGCCACCTGGAAAGCTGGATCTACATATCCCAGTGTACATGTAGTTAAAGTGACTAGGATCAAAATGCCATTGTACGCACAAGGAGGATTTGGAATCTGGTTCTCATCCAGCCTCCCCAGGACCTGGCGTCTAACCGAGAAAGCAAATCAAAGCCATTCTGCAGGGTAGGGACGTGGGAGAGCACCTGGGTGACACTGTCCACCACCTTTATTGTGTCATTCATAGGAAGACACCTGTTCGACTCTCGCTGAGTTAACGCAGCCTGTGGCTCCCTGGAGGGAACAAACACCTCCTTGCTTTGGCTAATAGATAGCTCAAGGCTGAATGAGTGTCTAGGACCATCGGGGCCAAGGACTCCTGAGATTGTTGTGTGAGACCAATATCTCATAGAATGACCTCCAGGCGGCCACCAAGGCAGCAGAAAGATTGTCATTAGCCTGTATGAGCTGGTGTTGTGTGCCAATACTGTCCTCAGACCAATTCTGGGCAGGCTTAAGAGCCACTCTGTGCCCAGCAGGAGCGGGACGAACACGCCATAGTGGGATGCGCAGGCTCCCCCTCAGTGGTTCTGGTCCCTGGGACTGTCCAGGACACCAGGACTCCCAGCCAGGCCGCGGGAGCAGCACTCCTTCCTGGGCCCATTCTTCTCTGGGATGCTGCTCCAGGGCTCCCTGGGGGCCATGCTCCTGTCCTTTCCTCCTCCCGAGTCTGTGGCTGGGATGGGGCAGCCCAGGGCCCCTCAGGTTCTTAGTCTGTGCCAAGGTCTCACCTGTGTCCTGCCTGCTCCTCCCCCCAGGTCATTCTCAAACTCTAAAGCTTGACTAGAACAGGGTGGTTTTTCACGTGGGGTCCCCTTCACTTCTCTTTTTGGTCTGCGCCCTCACCTTGGCAGAGCTCAGGGGTTTTAGCAACAGAGGCGTTCTATCTCAACGTCGTTGCAAGACCATCGCTTCCATGTTCACCCTGCACCAACCTCAGCCTGATTTTCCCGTGGATTGCCACCAAATTCACATGTTGGAATCTTAAACCCAAGGTGATAGTATTGAGAGGTGGGGTGAGTAGGTCAGGAGGGCAGAGGGCCCCGGAGCTTCATCCCTGATGCTCAGAGATGGAGGAATTCTAGCTGGGGGCAGGAGTTAGGGTTGGCCCTGTGGTGCAGGGCTGGGACAAAGAGTAGGGCAGGTCCCTGTCCTCTAGGAGGTCACAGTGCAGAGAGGCTGGAGGGGGAGCTGCCAGGCCATGTTAGAGAGCAGAGCCTTTCCCTGTGATCGTAAGTGCCCTGGCGAGGCATGGGGCTCTGAGAAGCAAAGGGAAAACATACTGAATAGAGGAAAGAGAACACGTACTTTTCTCATCCTTACATTCTGGTCAGGTTGTCAGCCGAGTTTAGAATATCAAATAAACAAACAGAAAATAGCAACACCAACAAGCCAATGTCCTGTATTTTAAAAGAAAAATTGCACCAGAGGCTTCGGAGAAGTGGCAAAGAACCGTTTATGGAAGACCGTTGCAACAGGGACCAGGACGCTGCAGTAGGGAGCGAGGCGGAAGCAGCGCCCATGACGGGCAGCAGGAGAGCGCGGGCGCTGGGCAGGCCTGGGTGGCACCGGAGGGCGTTGGTGGTGGGGGGGCGGCGCTGGTGGGCTGAGCCCATCTGTGTTTGCTAATCTGAGCTTACGGACGTTGGGCTCCATATTTGCACAGAGACAGGGTACTTGCCCCTGGAAGATGATATTTCAAAGGGATGCTCCACGTCTGACTTACTCTTTATTTCACTCTCCTTCCATGTGAGCTGCTTATTTAAGGCAGATACGGTCTTGTAGGTCTGCAGTCAGCACACAGGGGACACGCATGAGAACAATCAGTGTTACGTCTTATTTGACTCTGGGCAAGTTGTCCTGGTCGTTGGGAGACTGTCACACATCTCCCCACCGTCTCTGTCATTAGGTTTGAATCTCTGATCGCTCAATTCAGTTGTCGTAGCGACAGCGGAGCGTGACGCCCCAGTGCGCCTGCATTCACGCTGAGTGGACACGCATGTCCCATCCACATCTGCCCTGCCCTGGAATTCACAGATGCTCCTGAGCACGTCAGCCTGGAACTCGATTCCATCTTCTCTCTCGCATCCTCGTTTCCTCCACGTCCAATGGAATCGGGCCCTGACCCTGCATCTCTCTTGTCCTGATACCGTTTTCTCTTCCTAAAATGCTGCTCTGCCCCTTCTTTCCCTTTACCCACGTTTTAACATCCTGTGTGTTTCATTCTGAGAGTCACCATGAACTGTTTCCCTGACACCCAACCACGATGGTCTCTTCCTTCTTTCTAAAGTCCTAGTAATGCATGAAGCCGACTGTTCCCGTGTTATTCTCCTGTATTTCAGTCTTAAGTGATTTTGATTAGTTTTTTAAAGGTAGCAGTCACACAAACTAGATATATAAACTGCTTTAGCTTTTTAGATTTTGGCTTTCTTCTGTGCAGTTTAGTAAAAATAATGTAATTTTCTAATATCATATGATGTTGGAAGTAATTAATTCAATCAGAATTAATTTATTGATCGCCTATTATGTGTCTTGCAGTCATTTCGGTACCAGGATGAGCAAAACACGCGGCTCCCCTCCTAGTTTAGGGAGAAAAATGTTACAGCAAGTATATAGTCAAATGTATAGAATGTGAGACGGGTTCAACTTCTGCAGTTGAAAATAAAGGGAAGAAGGGCATTGAGGTTCCCAGGGGAACTAGTTGCAACTTACCATTGAGAAATTGGGAAAGACCTTAGGGACAAACTGAAATTGCAGCAGAGACCCAGGGGCTGGGGGAGGGAGGCAGGTGCAGATGCCCTGAGATGGGGTCAGCCTGGCCCAGGGGACAGTTAGGACAATACAGAGAGTTAGTTCCGGGACCTCATGACCTCAAGTCAGTGGCAGGTACAGGAAGGCAGGGAAGGTGTGTGGCCTTGACACCCTGATCCCAATATGTAACTTTCACATCTACACAAGGGACCAGAAGCTGGGACCACTTCTTTGTCAGACACAGACCCACTCTGTCCTCCCTGAGCTCTGTGTTGTGTTTCCCCAGCTGGGCAGGGTCTCAGTGGGGTGCCTAGACCCCTGGGCTGCATCTTCAGACAGGGAGACCCTGCGTCTGGGGCTGAGACCTGCTCAGAGTCAGCATGGAGTGGACGTGGAGGACACCTGCTCCCTTCTCCTGGGGCTGGGAAGCTGCTGGTGGTGTTGGTGGTCACAGCAGTGTCTGGGCCCATCAGATTGAGTCAAACATGGTGAATATTCTCACTTTACCCCTATCCCCTTTCTTTGCAAACTGCAGTCTCTCTGTCACTTTTGGACTCCTTGGGGCATTCTACCAGTGTCCACACTGATAAGAGTGGCCATGGGTTGTACAGATAGTTTTATTTTCAGACACATGCTGTGGAATCACAAGCTGAAACTGCTAGGTGCAGAGCAGATGCAGAGGCTGGCACTGGACTCCTCCCCAGGATTCTGTGCTCAGGGCCTGAAAGGCTGTTTGTAGGACACGTTGGACGAGTGTTTGAGGGTCAGTGAGTGTCTAGGGGAGAGAAAGAGACAAGAACCAGGAGGAAGAGTCACATCACAGCTCACCTAGACGTCAGACTGGCCCCATGGAGACCCCAGGTGTGGGCAGCGAGCGTGTCCTCTTGGAAGAGAGGAAGACAAGCTGCTGAGGACTCAGTCCCCAAATGTGTGCGTGTGTTGGGGTGGGCACCGGTTGGGCTTACCAGCAGGGGGCGCTAAAGGCATCCTAGGATGACTGTGGACCTGAGCCAGGACTCCTACTCATTCCCCACGCCCACTTGTCCTGCCTTCCCCTACACCTGTGCATGATGTTCCAGGTGTCAGAACCTCAGCACCTGCAGCGCCAACAGGGACACGGGTTCCCGGGGAAATGCTCTCCCTCGCTTCCCTTTTGCCGGTAGCCCTCGGAAGCTGTATTTCACAGGCAGAGCCGGTTTCTCTGCAGTTTTAAGGCAGAGAGAGCGCATGTCGCGAAGAGCAGTCGCGGAAGTGTGCACGCACGTTTTGTGTGTGCGAGGACAACTTTATGATTGTAAAATTCAGATTTTAGTTGATATGTCTGGAAAGTACTGATGCTGACTTCTTACCGGTGTGCTGCCCCCGTGCTTCCTGTTCTACTCATCGTGTCTTGGTGGGCTGCACGTTCTAATCTCAACTAAGCTTGTTTCCACGGAGCTGACACCAACGCAGGGCTTAAAAGGCAAATGTGTGATCTAGGTGTATTCAGTAAAACTCCAACAGTTCCGGAAACATAAGGTCTCTCCTGAGAAATGGCAATGTGATGACTGCGTACATGTGACGCTGACAATGGTTCCTTGTCTGACAAGTGACGGTTGTGGTCAGGAGAGATTCACATCCAAGTGACACACGGTGAAAGACAAAGTTGGTGAAGAGATCCAGAACATCGTTCCAGTGTTAATATCAATTTCTGTGAGAAGTCTAGGTCCACCCCCGGCAATCCTAGAATTTAAAACAGTATTTCCTTTAAAATATTGGAATTAAAATTCTAGTACTTGCATTTCAAGGAGTCTCTGCTAAGACACATACCAAATGTCAAAACGTTAAAACACAGGGAAATTGCTACAGGGACTTTATTTGAGATGAGGAAGGGAAGTGGGGGACAAGGAACAGGAGGAATGAGAGTCTCCTTCTAGGTCTCGAAGCACACGACGAACTCATTGTTCTCTGTTCTCGGTGCTCAGCGGCAGCAGAATGGGTACTGGTCGCCATCGGACAGGCAGGTCCCAGAGACGGTCTCTGGAAAACGACATCTTCTTCTTCTGCAGGAGCAGGACAAGTCCCTGATTGAGCCTGGGGACACAGAGAGAGCATCGGGCACTAGGGCTGGGGTGGAGGCGGGTGGTAAAGGGAATTCCCGTGCAGGAACTCGGTGGATAATCGGGTTCTTCGTGTTGGCGACATCACAGCGGCAGAACTGATCATCCCAATCAACAGGAATAAACACAGACGCAGTGCTGGGCACAGCAAGATCCGAGAGCCAGTCCCATTTTCTCCCCACTCTGCTCCCCTGCCCATGACACACACACACACACACACACACACACACACATACACACACACACATACACACACACACACACACACACACACATGTCTGAACACGCCCTTAGGCCTGTCTCCAGTTTCTAAAGCTCCTCTAAGAGACCATGTTAAGACATGTTTCTTTTAACCTGGGCTCTCTTCCGTGACGCAGCAGAGACGCCCACCATGTTTCTACATATCATGACATTAGTGGATTTCACAGAATTGTCGTAGAAGCAAAAATCTTTAGAGTAAAAAGGTGTCTTCATATCATATGGTTCTTTCTTATCAATATACACAGGAGGAAACGGAGGCCTGGGGAGGTGATCACCTGAAGACACAGAGCCAGCGCTGGGACTGATTCTAGAGGAATCTGGGTTTCCTCTCTAGATGCGCCAACTCTGCAGTGCTGGGGGTCTCTCACCTGCAACTCTGATAGCTGAGATCTTGTCCCCTGCAAAGGAGATGGCCATGTCCTGGTCCTCTGCCCTAGGCTGCTCCTGGGCTGGGGCATCCTCAGCTCTCTCTCGCAGGGGCCCAGCCTGGGCCTGGAGGGCCAGCAGGAGAAGGGCAGCGAGGAGGACGAGGGTCCTCATGCTGGGGTCGCCTGGAGCAGGGAGAGCAGGAGGCGAGTGTGTGCAGCAAGGAGTCAGCCCTGTTTATAGGTCTGTGGGAGGAGGCGCGAGACCAGCCTGCAGGGAGGGCCGGTGAGCATCTGCCCGGGAGGGTGAGGGCTGCCCTTGGCCTGATGCTCCTCTGTCCCCGCAGCTTCGTCACAGCGGGTCTGGGTGTTTAGTGTGTGTCCTGGGTCCAGGCTGATAGTGATGATAAGGACCATGTTGCATTTTCCTGCTTCCCATCTGTTGGAATATTTACTTTTTAATATTCAAAAAAGAAAAGAAACGGTCCTTTCATGCAATAAGCTCAGAGGACAAATGCCTCTGATTTTCTGAAGATGGGCCTGCTGCTCTCTGGGGGTCTAGTCCCTGGGCAGACCTGGACCCCATTAAGCAGACAGTTAAATCATTGCAGGATTCAGGGGCTTTACCCCCCTCCTGAGGGGTGTTGTCACTGTTCTCACCATCTTCCCCGTCTGGCTAAGGAGAAGAAATAGCAAAGAGGCCATCGGGGGGCGAGCAGGGCATCAGGGGAGAACAGAAGCAGGAGCTCTGGCGACCACCTCACCGAACCCAGCTCGTCGCCCCTGGAAGACACACAGTCAAAATCACAGGGAAACTTCGTGTGACCGGGCTCCGCAGTGACCAGCAAGCAGGAGCGTGTGCGCCCCCCGGAGGGAACGCGGCGGCGAGGGCAACCGTTGAATGTAGGTGAGCATAGTCAAGGTGACGGTATCATCTACAGCTGACGAATGTAAGGAAAAAAATTGTTTTTGTAACACAAGCTTCCAGAAAGATTAGAAGCTTGTCTTGTGGGGACAAAATGATGCAGCCAAGTCAATAAGAATGCTAAGAATTCTGGGCGGGGGAGGGGACATACACGCGGGGGTTTCATGGTAGCCAGAAGGGACACGGGTTTTTAAGACTTGAGGACAGTGACACAGGGAGGAGAACCCCCCGGGGCAGAGGAGGGCTCATCTCTATCCCACCAGTGCGGGGCGAGTGGCCCAGCACGGCCCGGCTCCAGGCTGCCCGGGCTGCTTGCCTGCGCCGATGGTGTTTCCATGACACCCAGGGATGGGATTGGCTCATTTCGCCGGAGCCCCCACGAAAGGGAAAGCACTTCCAGGGACCCAAGGGACACAAGCGGTAAAAAGGTACCACCGCCTGGACCTGGCGATGCCCACCCAGTCTCGGGCTGGGGACCTCCCCGCCTCGGGCCACCTCCGCCGGAGCGATGCTCCTCAAATGTTCCCTCCCGGAAGACCCTTGTTCTTCCTTTTCTTGCCTTTGTTTTCTTTGAGGAGGGCCAAGCTGTCAACTCTTTTTAAAAGGCCTACAAATAATCAGTCCCATTTTTATTATTAGATCCAACAAACAGAAGATTACATTTCAATAAATAGAGTTAGAACAAACATATTACTAATAATACAGAGAAAAGAAAAATAATCTCTGTACACACCGTTCATGACAAGTGTGCCGATAGGTATTGAACATAGAGAGTCACTATTCCATTTCTATAATAACTTGCTGTTCTTTGTAATTAAACAAAAATGACCCATATTAAATGCCAATAAACACTGTGAGTATCTTCTTTCCTTCTGTAGCAAGAAAATTTTGAAGCATAGCCATCATTTTGCTTTTCCAACATCCAGCATGAAATCCCTCAGACGCAATTTTTATTTTTGGCTAAGCCAAGGTTTCTAAATCATTCTTATGCTTATTTGCACAGAGAGAGGTTCAGGGAGGTCTATCACCACCTCTTAGGTATATTAAATGTGTGGCCTCATTGGATTCGTTTTTTTGAAGATCCAAAAAAGCATCAGAACAAAGTCTGTGTTCTAAAAATGTGTCTGGGTTTGTTTCGATCAGGCATGGTGCACCGAAGTAAGAGTTCATCTTCACAGATCCCCAGAGACAGGAGGCGCCATGCAGAGCCACCCGGGGAGAACGAGGTCACCAGAGGCAGCGGGAGAAAGACAGCAGACCCTGGCCCGGAGCCCACTTGGGGTTCTGCGAGAAGGAATGGGCCGGGTGGTGCAGGTACCGTGTGTAAGCTTAGGGCTGGAGAGCGTGGAGAACTGTGGCAGGCTCTGGGTTGTAGGAGCGGCCCCTAGTTGTCTGGTACCTGGCTCTGGGGAGATTTAGGGCAATGGAAACCACCTGGTGTGTGAGAGTTTGATAGAGAAGGTGGTTGGGTATGTGGGCTCTGGTTAGTTTGTGCATCCAAGCCGTGCTCACGGGGTGTTGACTGCTGTCTCTAGTAATTAGCTAGAGACCAAGACGCCAAACTCCAGAGCATCAAGAATTCAGAAAATAAGAAAATATAGTCAATATAGTCTGAGTAATATCACTTCCTCTGCTCAAATGCTTCTCGTGGGAGCCATTGAAGAACCCTTCTTACTTATCCGTCCTGTGTCATTTTGTTGGCTTTGGGGCATGAAAAGGAGACTCCAGGCTTTGCTGGTCACGTGTCCATTTCTCTCATCACTTACCAGATGTCCCTGCGATGTCAGGGACGATGCAGGGGCTCCTGGGATGGAGAAGCCAGCTCCCGCCTTCCTAGAGCTTGAGTCGGGGTGACAAACAGAAAAGTCCACGGCTACAGAATTGCCAGGCCAGTGCTTAAAAGAGATGTGGACAGGCTGCTGGGAGTGGCCCTTAGAGGTGGCACTGAGCTGCATTCTGAGGGGTGTGGCACCAGTCAGGGGTTAGATTTGCAGACAGAGTGAGGGTACGTGTCCCCGTCTTGTCCCCTAAGAACACTTTCAACGTCCCCACATGCAGTAGATGGGAATGTCACAAACGGAACCAGAGCCGTAGACAGAGCAGTTGAACAGTATAAAGTTATTGGTCTCTCTAAGTCAATGTACAAATCCAATATAATCGCAATAAAATGCCAATAAATAATCTTATGAAATTAGACAAGCTGATACTAAAGTTCAGATAGAAACCAAACATACAAGGACAGGTTGAAAAAAATGGGGAAAAAAACTACGAAGGAATATGACCCTTATTAGACATTAAAATACACTATAAAATCTGTAATTAAAACAATGTGGTACTAGTGTATGGATAGACAGACAGACCAGTACAGCAGTATAGGAATTCTAGAATTAAACCCACATACAGATGGAGATTTAGGTATACGGCAAAGGTGGCATTGCAAATCACCAGGGTAAGGATAAACTTTTTAATAAATGGTGCTGGGACAATTAGGTAGTCATTTGGGAAAACATAAAATTAGATCCATATCTCACACCACGCACATAAATTAGGGATCTAAACACCTCTGTCCAGGGCTGGGGTCGGAGAAGTTGAAGTCTGTCTATTCTCTCTATTGCAATTCAAAGCCCTGCGCTTTTTTCCCCACTCGTTTTAAAAAAGTATTTCGAGGGTCGGTCACGTACCAGGCACTGCCTCAGCCACTGCGGATACAGGATGCCAAGATAGTTAGAGTCCCCGCTCTCCTAGAGCTTACATTTGATGGCAGAGAGAAACAACCACCCATAAAAAGGAGCCTCTGCCTTTATGGGATGTTTACGTAGGTGGAGAGCAGGCAGTCAAACAAGCGAATGTCCACCATAAACAATTAAACATGAAATTCAACATTGGGTAGAGACCCACGCTGCCAAGGAAAACAAAGCTGGCCGAGGGACAAAGAGTGGAGGGCAAGGAGTTTGGAAAGTGGCGGGCATGGCTGGAGAGCTGTGGGGGCCACATCGTGTTCATTCCAGATGATCAGGAAAGGCCTCTGCGTGGTCTGAGTGACAGGAGGAGCACTGCGCGGTGAGCCTCGGGCTGACAGCCACACCCGGAGGAGATGGCAAGTGCAATGGGCCGTGGAAACCCACAGGAGAGTGATGCACAGGGAAATGGCATGGTCCAGTGTACAGCTCAGCAAAGTGATTTTGGTTGCTGGAGGCAGCGTCCACTGGGCAGGGATATCACACCACACACATCTGTGAGCAGCAGGGCCCAGGTTGGAGGTCCCCTGCTAGACTGTTCTGTCTACAACTTCTCTTCCAAGGCTTCTTTCTCTGGCCTTTGCCTTAGGGGTAGTGGACTTGGTTAAGTGACCCGTGTTTGGTGCCCACGTTCAGTGGCCAGTGCACACAGGTCCAAGCTCAGCTACTCACCATCCATGTAGTCTGGGAAGGCCACTTGAAACTTCCTCGAGCTCACTTTCTTCATCTATAAAATTTAAGGTAGTTCTCATCTCAGAGAGTTGTTGCAAAGAAACATTGAGAGACTGTGAATGGGCTTTGAAAACTGAACCCTGTAAATACAGGAGATTACTAAAATGCCATATCTGCGCTTTATTCCAGCCTCTAGTTGAGGCAAAGCTCAAGCTAATAATTTGAGGCCTGTTCGACTCCCCGGAGGACAAAGATTCCTTCCTGTCCAGACCCCAGGTCTTGAGATTATTGCATGTTGGACAGCCCAGGCTGCTGCTCCTACAGAAAGGCTGTGGCCAAATTTCCCTCCCGCTCAATCGCGGCGCGGTTCATGTTACCCCGCTCCTCCCGGCTGGAGAGAGTGCCCCGTGGGGAGGAGTCCCGAGGCCCCACTCAGGAAAGCAGCCGTGCTATGACTGACTAAGGACGCTGGTCATGCACGAAGGATGGAAAATTGCCTGGGAGCAAGAGTCCATCCTCTCTCCCAGCACTCACAGGGCCCCAGAAGAAACTACTTGTCGCCTCCTACGTACTTTTTGCTCAGAACCTCACATAAACATTTCCTCCCTGCAACTTTCATGTTGCCTGTTGTCCTACTCCAAAAAAAATCAGTAATTCAGGTGGGACAAAACTCTGTCCTACAACTGGGGCTTGGTTTCTCTCTCCTTCCTGAATGGAAACACCTGTCATCTTCTCGAAGTCCAGCTGTTCGCTGCATAGTGCTGGCTACAGTGTCTTCGCCAATCTTCACACAGAGGGTTTCATAGGCTGGTGGTGATAATGTCACTCAAAGTAGACTCA